AAGAGTAGAGGTACTATTGTTCTTTGTTTTTTATTGTGAAACGGCCACTGTGCGTGGATTAAAGGCTGCATTTTTCCCCTTCAGAGGGGCTCGGGCAAGTCCCCCAAAGATAAGTCTGAAAACTTCAGTGGCTCTCTTGGGAATTGGATCAAACTATACATACTCACATTAATTAAAACTAATGCTGTGCTTGGAAACCAGCTGCCTTTTCATCAAGGAAAGATATGTTTACTACAAGTCAGAGTTGTGAAGGTTAACTATATCTGCAAGGTTTAGCTTGTGAATTATGCTAAGAGCACTGCATTGTGATTTTAAGAGCTTCAGGCTACCTGTATTTGGGATTTTTTTCCTACGGCAGGCTCAAGAAGAGATGGCTTGGAGGATAGCAAAGATGATAGTCAATGACGTTATGCAGCAGGCACAATGTGAGCAGCATTTGGAGAAAGTTACAAAGGTAAGAGGGTAGGAAGCCTGTGTGCCTTTATTGTCTGACTTTGGCTGAACTGTGGGAGGAGCAGAGCTTTTGCTTGTTTTCCTGCTGCATCTGAAACCCACGCTACAGTATGAGTTCAGACTGTAGTAGCGTGGCAGGATTTCCAGAAGGGTTGGAAGCGTTTCAGCCTGTGTGATAGGAAGTTCCTGAGAGATACCTGTAGTGGTGCACCTGTACGAGACTTAAAATTGGCTTTGTTCCTTTACAGTCCTTATAAGCTGCCTTATTAGTTAAAAGGGTGATTTATAGTGCAGGATCAATACTGTAATTTCTTATTTGAGTTTACCCTTGCTATTTCATGTTAATAAATGCTAGTATATTTGCCTGAAGTCACACTAAAACTTACTTAAGAGCTAGAAAGTTGTCTTGTTGGGTGCGCTAAATTTACACTGTGCTATGTCTATACTGTTAAAAAAAAAAAAAAAAAAAAGTAGCCCTGTTGATAGGCTGGCACTTTAGCATTATACATTGATGCTTAGTGACTTTGCTGTTGTAAAAGTCTGTGTTCTGTGTTACAAAACAGTTGTGATGCAATAGTTACATTTTGTGAAGTAATGAAGACAGCAGTTTACCAAGTTAATATCTGGTACTTGCAGCTTTCAGACGTCTCTAACATCAATTACAAAAAAGAAAAAAAGAAACTTGCACTTTTTCAATTAATGAAAGTAAACATGTACCAAAACCCAGTGATAGGCCTGGGCTAATGGGTCCATAATTTCACTATGTGACTGTTTTCCTTTCCCCAGAGCAGTTATATTTAAAAGACTTGTATGATAATTTCGCTTAATAGCTTGACTGCAAATGATATAATTCCAGCCTGGCTGGTTGAAAAGGTCACTCAGCACAGTATTTAGAAATATCAAGTGGTTGCACGTGCTCTGGATTCAATTAAGCAAGTATAATTACAGTAATGGAAAGGTTGAGGTTTGTTGTGTGGGGTGTGTGGCTTTGAGGGGTTCTCCCCCTCCCAAACTCATCAGCTTACCTGGCCTCAACGTTGGCAAACACAAAATGTCTTTCTACTGAGCGGTTGCCTTGTGTGTTGTAGGGTGAAATGAACTCTAACCCTATTTTTCCCTTTCCAGCTATAATTTTAAATGCCAGAACAGGAAATCTAATTTTCTGCTTTGAGAATGAGTGAACTTTCCTTTTTGGTGGATTCTTTAACACAGCCAATAAAAAAGCACTGTTACTACATACCGCTGATATCTCCCTCATTTGTAAGGAAGAATTAAAAAGAAGCAATCCTGTACCTCCACTGTAGAGAGCAAAGAAACACTTTTTCCTGTTGTATACGACATTCACAATAATGATGGTTTTTAAAGAGATGAAAACACAGTTTATGAATGTGTCACTGAGAAACTGTGATCAACTTCACAAATGCTTGACCCTGTCTCGAAAAGACTTTTAAGCAAAATATCTGGAACGGGACACAAGCCACACCGAGGAGGGGAAGGTTTTGCTGTAGTTTCTAGTTCTGCTACTTGTAATTTTTAAACACAAAATTGCAAAGGCCGTGGGATGTCTCCCTGATGCTTGACCATTGGAGAAGTGAACCTGAAACTGTGAATTCATTGGCAGTGAATGACCTTAAAAGTTCTAAGTTTTATTTTTTCCTTACTTGAAATAGATGAGTACTCAACTGTAAGATAAATGTATTTTACTTCATAACTACATTAACTTTGGAGGAAGCATAGAGTGATCAGGAGTGAAGCCTGGACAGTGTAACTCTTCCTTGTCAAGCTCTTACACCTGCATACACACGTTCCCTGCTTCTAACACACAGCAGACTTGCAAGGTCAGCTTGCACTTGTGCCACCCCCTGATCCTGAGCCCTGGCTCTTAATGCAGCCCACATCTGGAGGAGATTCTGCTCCATTTTCTTTCCTCTTCATTCCACAACCAAGGAAAAAAGTAATTGCTGCCATGTATTACTGCCATTCTCCGTAGCTTGTTGTCCTCAAACCAAGATAGTATCTGATTCCAGATGTTTGGTTTATAAAGAAAAATAACTTTTAATGACCTCCGACCTTCTTTTCCCTGACCTTGACAACACTGCAACTTGTGTAACCTTTAATTGAAGTAAAAAGCCACTGTGTGACACAGCACCGGTGTTCCTTCCTGTGAACTGATTTTGCAGAGTATCTGAAGTACTCAGTGAGTCACTCCATTATGTTACCACTGCATTTTTAGTATACAACACTTCTATTTTGGGTTTTTTGTTCTACTGTTATGATTGCTTTTTTCCTCAAACTTGTGCAAAAAAAAATCACTTTATAAAGAACTCAATCATCTCCAATGTTCAAAATATCTTGATTGACTAGCAAGTGTTATTCTGTTGCAATATTTGATTGTATAGAAACACTGTATTATCTATGAAAAGAAGCAAAAAGGCTGTGTATAGGTTTTTGGTACTATGTACCACCCCTTATTTCTCTCATGCCCAAGTATTCATGTACTTAAAACATATACTATATTTAATTGTGTTTTGATTTAAAATATATGAATATTAAAATTTGTGTCAATTTTCTGTTTTAATGGGATTGGACATGTAAACCTACATTTTTTTTAAAGTGGGGGGGTCTCATAGGTTCATAAAAGAAACAAACACCTGAAACATCTGTCTTATGGTATATTTGCCCAGATTTCTTATTCTTTTAATTGACTATGTTAATGGAAGTGAAGTGACTATGAATCACTTCTACCAAGATAGTAAATAAGGTTTTGAATGGGGAGGATAACTGTTAACAGTGCCTCACTGCAGCCATGCCAATGCGTTGATGCGTGTCTGTAACTAGCTGATTGTGGAAAACCTGAGCGGTGGGAAAGACTGAGTTTAAGTTGCTCTGTTGCTTTGCATAGTGCAGGTATGTGTTCGGGGAGCACCGATACCTCTGTGGACCTTGTAGAGCGTGAATTGCGTGTTCAAGTAAGATTTCTGGCGTGCTCTATGCTTAAAACGCCCGTGAATGTGATCTGCCACGAGCCAAAGGTAGACTAGCCTGCGTGACCACCGGCTTTACGGGGAAGCGGGTAGAAGAGAGGACTTTGGCCCCTAGCGCTGTACTGAACTAGGTATGTGTTCTTGAATCCTCTTCCCTGGGTGGGGGGAAAAAATTAGGGAGAGGTAACAGCCAGGCCTGCACCTCATTTGCGGGGCCAGTCGCCCTCCCTTGAAGGGCAAAGCTGGTGCCCTGCGCACTGCTAACAGCCAGCTGAGGGCCCGGTTTGGACAGTTCCTGTAAGGTGCTTCGATCTGACGATCAGCCTGAGCCGAGGAAGCGAGCGATGCTTGGTTTGGGGCTTCGGCCACACGCGCAAGTTTTCCTTGGCCTCTCTGTGAGCCGTGTTTCGATGTGGCGAAGAGCTGATCTCCAGGGTTACGATGTGCATATCTGAGGCCTGTTGCGGTGGCTGTTAAATCCTCCTGGAAGGGAAGCATACTGGCACCGAGCTCGGCTTGGTGAGGCTGGAGAGGAGCCTGAAGGGCCCGGGGACGGGCTGCGCCGGGGATGGCGGGCGCTTCAAGGGCGAGCGCTTCGTTCGGCGAGGAGCTGCTCATCTGCGCTGCCAGGAGGGGAAGGGAGGCAGGATGGGTGATGCTGAGCTGCTTGGCCCCTTGTGTGCCTTCACAGTGGATTTGAGGCTCCTTTTGCTCAGTGCGGTGCCTTCCCGCTCCTTGGCTGCTGCCAGCCGAACCAGCCAGGGTTGGTAGGGCAAGCGCGACGCCTGCGGGTGCTCCTCCTGCAGCCGGAGCTGGTAAGCTGCTAAGTTAATCCTGCTGGGTTAGGTCCTGGGGACGGCCCCAGAGTAATTACGCTTCGGAACCGGAGCGGCGTTGCACCTTCGAAAGGGCCGAGCGCCCTCGCGGCGCTGTGCCGCCTGACAGCGCTGATGGGGAAGACGCCTTGGCGTGGCATTACTCCAAACTGGAGCGGGGGGGACCGTCCCTTTTCCATCTCTTGGCCTCTTCCACAAGGGCAGCGG